CCCCAGGGCTGGCCGCGCGACTCAGAGGACACATTAAGGCCATCGTATCTCCAGATGCGCCAGATGGTGGATGGCCGAGATATCATCTTACGCGGAAGTCTTTGGGGCCGCTGCGTCTGTTACCAATGGCGGTCTTTCCGTCGGAGGCACAACCGTTGGAAGAGGAGTCTCTTGTGATCAGATTCGCCAGTTCTGAGTGCAACCATCGTGATCGGGATCGTGGATATCAGCGCCGTGGGAACCGACAAAGACCACTACTTGTACCACGGCGGGGAGCGGTTCGTCGTCGACCGCCGCCGCGGCTTCGAGGACCCAAGCAGGCGCGGTCAATTTGGGTTTCCCAGGTGTTCCAGGATGCGAAGGGGAGATCAGATTATGAACGCTTGTGTCGGGGACCGTTGTTACAACATCCTGGACATCTACGAGGCGCGTGTTCCGAGGTCTACGCTGGCATTATGAGGCTCAGGTTGGTGGAAGATCGTGGGTACGACCCGATCAGCACCTTCGAAGAAGGAGTCTTCAATCTGTTGGTGGCTTATTGTGCATCATATCGTCCATGTGTTGTTTTCCCACCATCGTGGAATGTAGATACAATTGCTGGCTTCTTACACCGTGCAGGGGAGTTGGTCCATGTTTTCATTCAAGGTGGGGCTCGCCGTATGGCGGCCGTCATGGTAATCGAGTGCCTTCTCCGTCTGCACCGAGTGGCGCCGTTCAGTGTCTCACCGTTCGTCTTACCAGCTTGTGTTGAGGACGATCTACCACACCTACGCCAGAGGATTTCGATGATATGGAAGTCTATCAAGACCAGCAACGCCAAACACGGGACAGTTAAGAGACAGTGTGGTCGTGGCTCGTGGGATTTGTCGTTAAACATGCTTCGGAGGGCTTTAGCTATGGCGTCGTATCAGACCTTAGTGAAGATGGGCAAGGTGGCTTTGGAAAGGGCTGGGATTACTATAGGTGGAGTCATGTCGACTGTAGCAATTTCGGTCGAGCTTGGCTCGGAAGAAGGTCGCCCTCGGGAAAATCGTGACCGTGACAGCGACGACCACCGTGGCCAGCGTGACCGCGACCGTGATCGTGACCGTTGGAGGGGCCGCCGTACCCGTTCGAGTTTCTCGTCGGGGTGGAGGGACAACCACGAGGCGCGCGGTTTGGAGCGCCACAGGAGATGGATGTACAAACACGACCCGTCACACGCGGCGTTCATGGACCAGCGGGAGCAGGAGCTATGTGATATCGAGGTTCGCCGTCAGGGAAAGGTCATGGCCAGGGCAATGCACGGGTCGATGGATCGCGCGTTCCAGGAGAACGGCATCATGATCCACACGCCCCAGAGTGGGGGCCGTGGGGATCCGCCGCCGTCGCCAGGGACGTCCACAGTTGCGAGCCCAGGACCTGTCCCTAGCACGGGCGTGCCGCCAGGGGGGACCGGTACGGTCGACGTGGGGGGACTTCACGAACATCAAGCGCATGCTCATGGAGACGCAGTTCGAGTCCAGCGTCGAGCTGGAGGACGAAAAGGAGTCTACGCTCAAGGAGGCGTTCTCCAGCTCGTGGGGCAATCGCAAGTCATTGCAGATCGCAAGCAAGCTATTCAAGAAGCAGAAGATCACGGATCCCAAGGGTAAGGACGAGGAAAGATCAGCGTTGTGGGAATATTATCAGGACCTCGCCTGAGAGATTGCCGAGCCTCTCTTAGACGCGTACGGTGCTGAGATCTATGCTCCAAAGGGGGAGCGCACTTCTGTGAAGACTCAATTCACGTTGTACATGATTTTCTTTCTGCTTGGACTGGTAATCGGAAATCCTTCGTGTACTTCTGTCGGCAGGGGTCGCCTACTTCAGGGTCCATGTCAGCGGTTTTCTACGAATATCGTGTACTGAATGGCCAAGCCGCACGATCCTGTTCCCGACTTTCTCCCAGAAGGTCGCAGGTAGTCTTGTTGCAGGCACATCCGCTCTTGGGATCAACGTGAAGGGTGTGAGGACAGCTGTCAGGACCGCTCTAGGCTGCTAACCAAGATGAGGTTTCCTTTTGGTTTTTTGGGGTCCTCTCCCCTCTCCTCTCGCTCCTCCTCCCTCCCTCTCCTTTCCCCCTTTCCTTCCCCGCTCCCAAAAAATCCCCACGTGAGGATTGCCTCACTTGGGCCTTGGACGTTTCTGGTGCTCTGTTGGGTTCCGTGTTTGAGGCACTGTCCGTGTGCTGGCCCCGACCTTGGGGGGTCGGTAGTTGGGCTCGGGTGCACCACTCTTTCCCCCTTGAGGACCCGAACCTTCCTCCTCCACCCAGGTGTGTACCCAGAAGCCCGCTCGGACAGGATTTGCTGATGACCGTTGAGTCTGACCCTATTGCGCTGTATCATATCCCAGCGCGGAGGGACACACTTTCTGCCCGTGGGCGCGTGCGGCTCGAGGTCGAGCCCCAGGGGAGCCCGCGCTTCTCGCATGGACGCTCAAGGAAGCGCTGGCGGTCCTTCGGTGTCACACCGAACCCCGAGCGGCTCAGTGGTGCAAGGAAAACAGATCGGGGTCTAAGGCCTACGCCTGCCGCCAGCCTCAGACCGATCTGCATCCCATTCATCGCCTTGGAGAACACACACACGCGCACACACACGCACGCACGCACGCACACACGCACACACGCACACACGCACACACGCACACACGCACACACGCACACACGCACACACGCACACACGCACGCACGCACACACGCACACACGCACGCACGCAAACACGCACACACGCACACCCGCACACACGCACGCACGCACACACGCACCACGCACACACGCACACACCACGCCCGCACACACACGCACAACAAAGCTAAACGCACACCCGCACGCACACGCACACGGCACACTCACACACGCCACGCACCGCACACACGCACACACACACGCACGCACACACGCACACAACGCAGCACAGACACACGATACACGACACACATGACACACAGACACCAACCACAGACACACTGCACACGGAAACACCTGACACACAGACACACTGACACACGACACTTGGGACCACGGACACCGGACACACGGACACACTGGACCCACACACGGAAACACGGACACCCAGACACCCGACACACGGACACAAGACACACGACACACGACACACGGACACACGGACACACGGACAACGGACCAACGGACCAACGGACACACGGAACACACGGACACACGGACACAACGGACACACGGGACACACGGACACACGGCACACAAACTGACACACGGACCCACGGACACACGACACACGGACACACGGACACACGGACACACGGACCACGACACACGGACACACGGACAACGGACACACGGACCACACGGACACCGGACACAGGAACGGACACACGGACACACGACACCGGACACCAAACGACACACAGACACGCACGCACACACGCACACACACGCACACACGCACACACACACACACACGCACACACACACACACACGCACACACACATACACACACACACACACACCGCACGCAACGCTACCGCCCCCTTGCAACTCTACAGGGTCGTAGCGGCCGTCGCCCTGGACCAGGGGGGAGGGACGGAGGCACCCCATGTGAGCGGAAAGTGCTGCCTGTTAAGCGGCGCGATGGGGCGGCCAGGCTGGAGTTCCACCCCCGTGACAGCGTCCCCCTGGGCCGACAGACATGTCAGGGAGATCTGCGATTTTGGCTACCCGTTTTTCGAATTTGCGACGTGGTTTTCGGGCGCATTCCGACGTCGTTTCAAGGCTCCAAGTCAGAGGGCGCTCCGAGGGCGCTCCGCGGTGCGCCCACGGCCGAAGCCGAGGCCAAAGCTGACGCCAAGTCGGAAAAAGGAATCTTCCAGGGCTCCCGGTTGGCCTCGCGCGCGGCCGCGCGAGGGGCACGAGGGCCACGCAGCAGAGCAAAGGGGCAGCCAGCGACGAGGGCGGCGAGAACGAACGACGGCGGCGACGGCGACGGCGACGACGGCGACGACTCGAAGACGACAGACGAGCGAACGCAGCGACGCGAACGAGGCTGACGGCGACGACGGCGGCAACCGCGAATCACTTGGCTGAGCGCCTGGGGGCCGAGCCAGGCGCTTAGCCAAGTGAGGACGAGGAAGGAGGAGGTACAGAATCGCGCCCAAAACTGAATCTGGGATTTCGACGCTGCGGATCAAAATCAATGCTGCGTCCCGACAGTCCCAAGTCGTGGCCGAGCACCAGGCCTGGGGCTCCCACACCGCGGATCAACATGACTGCTGCGTCCTGACACCCCGAAACGGTACCAGAACACCATGTCTGGGACTTCAGCCATACGAATCCTTTCGACATTCTCGCAAGCTGTGAAAACGAATGCGTGCGGCGCTAAGGCGAGCGCTACATTCTGAAAAGGAGCCGCCCTCCATCCATGAAGCTGTTGCAGACTTGACGACCGAATGTCCGCGGCGCTGAAGCGAGAGCCACATTTTGAAAAGGAGCCGCCCTCCATCCATGAATCGGCGACGAATTTGTGAAACAAAGGTGCGCGGCGCTGAGGGGAGATCCACCTTTCGACAAGGAGCCGTCCTCCATCCGTGAAACTGTTGCACATGTCAGGCCTCAGGATCAGAAGCAGTAAGGAAGTCTCAAGCGAAATGCCCTGCCCACGCTAGTGACACGCCTGAGGATGCGACAGGGAGGAGGTATGTATAAGGAACAGGAATGGAGGAGCAGGAAGAAGGAGAAAGAGGAAGAGGAGGAGGAGGACGACGACGTCGGCGACCAAGAGCGGCGGCAACGCCGGCGACGAGCGACGACGACGGGCGAGCGACGGCGAGCGACGACGGCGAGCAACGCCGCCGGCGGTGACGGCGAGCGACGACGGCGGCGCCGACGAGCGACGACGTCGGCGAGCGACGCAGGCGGCGCTGCGACGACGACGGCGAGCAACGCCGTCGACGGCGGCGGCGGCGCTGCTCCCGGCGGCGGGCAGGCCCAGGGGGGGCGGCCTCGAAGCGGACGATGCCCATGACGGCGATGCCCTTGCCTATGACGAGGTTGTGCACGAACTCCTGCGCGCTTGCGGCCGCGGCCCTCCTCCACCTCCAGGCCCTCCTGGAGGAGGAGGAGGAGGAGGAGGAGGAGGAGGAGGAGTGGGATGAAGAAGAGTAGACGTAACCTGAGGGCGAGTCCAGGAGGGGGACGAAGAGGAGGAAGACGAAGAGGTGCCAGAGGGCGAAAACTGCTGAAAACCGCCCGCCGTGTTTTTTGCACAACGACGGGGAGGAGGGGTCTCTCCTCTACCAACTTGGTCTTCTCCCACTCCCCTGTCTTTGGCCATGGCGAGGGCCATCGATGGCGCCAGTCTTCGGATGGACCCGCCACCAGCGACAGCGACGGGAGCCGCAGAGATCGTCGTCGCCGCCGCCGGCGCGCGCCGCCGCCGCCGCCGTCATCGTCGCCGTCGCCGTCGCCGTCGCCGTCGCCGCTGCTGCCGCCGTCGCCGCCGCCGCCGCCGCCGCCGTCGCCGTCGCCGTCGCCGTCGCCGTCGCCGTCGCCGTCGTCGTCGTCGTCGTCGTCGTCGTCGTCGTCGTAGTCGTCGTCGTCGTCGTCGTCGTCGCCGCCGCCGCCGCCGCCGCCGCCGCCGCCGCCGGCGGTGGCCGTCCTCGGCGCACAGCGTGCCCTGCAGCGGGCCCGTGAGCGCGCAGAGGCGGTGTCCCTGCGCGGCGGCCCCCGCGGGGGGGCGCGGCGGAGGCGTGCCGCTGCCGCCGCCGCCGCCGCCGCTGCCCGCTCCTCGCCCGCGCTCCTCGCCCGCGCTCTGCCCTCGAGCCTCTGCCCTCGACCTCGGCCCTCGAGCCTCGCGGGCCGAGGGCGGAGTCGAGCCTCTGCCCGCGACCCTCGCGCCGCGCGGGCCGAGGTGCTCCTCGGGCGCTCCTGGCCCCCCGCGGGCCCCTGGAGGTCTCCGGGGCCCTCCCGCCGCTGCCGCTGCCGCTGCGGCCGCCTCGTCCTCGGGGGGGCCGCGCGGGCCACCTGCCAGCCGGGCCGCCGCACGCCGGCAGGAGGAGGAGGAGGGGGAGGACCAGGGTAAACCCAAGAGTCATCAACGATGTTGGCATGAACCCTCCGTCCAAGCTCCCTCTTCATAGGCCCCTACAGCGGTCCATTTCCAGTGAGGGAACTGCCTCGTTGGAAGACAACCGTTTGAAGATCCTGAAGCATGCCGAAATCCGCCGGCCCCCTTGCGGGGCCATCAGGCTGCGAGGCTTAAGGTTGCTGCTTCCTGCACCAGTTCCAGTTTCCAGTTTCCATTGTTACAGTGCTGCTTTCTGCTTCCTACTGTAAATTGTTACTGTCCGCGCGAAGGGGGGAGCCGAAAACTACCCTAGTTAGCGTCCCCCGGGAGGGTTCTCAGAATTTCTGGGGGGGCGTGAGACACTTAAAAATACGGGAGTTCCGTGCCCCCGAAGCCAGAAACCCATGCAAATTACGCTGTATTCGCGCCCCCGAGGCCACGACCCTTCGTAAATTAAACTGTGTTCGCGTCTCCGAGGCCACGATCCCTTGACATGTACCCCACATTTGCGTCTCCGAAGCCACGATCCTTTGTAAATTACTCGTTCGCGCCCTCGAGGCCACGATCCCTTGTAATTTACGCCCCATGCGCGCCCCCGAAGCCACGATCCCATGTAATTTAATTAATTGTCGCGCCCCCGAGGCCCCGATCCCTTGTAACTTACAACAAATTCGCGCCCCTGACGCCACGATCCTTGGTAAATTACACAGCGGGCGCGCCCCCGAGGCCACGAATCCACCTTGCGGAGGCTGCCGAAAAGGCGCTCCCCCTCTCCAAAGAAGAAAAACGGTCATTTTCTGTATTGGGATATGTGCTCCGCTGGTATTCTTTTGCCCCCCCCGTTTCTGGCAAATTCGGCGGTGGGTACGCCGCTGTCGCGCCCCTCAGGCCACGATTCCTCGCAAATTACGCCACATTCGCGTCCCCGAGGCCACGACCCCCCGCAAATTACACTAAATTCGCGCGCGCCCCCCACGCTACGAATCCACCTCGCGGAAGCTGCCCAGAGGCGCCACTCCTTCTCCAGAGCAGAAAAAATAACCTTCCCAGAGGTTGCCTGAAGCAATCCCCAGCCGTTCCCAGGGCGCTTCCAATGAACAACTGGAGGAAAATGCCAAGAAGGCAACAAAGCGTTCAACAACAACTTCAACATCTCAATCTGTTTTGCTCATCGCCAGCCGCCCTAGCATGACGTTCCCGAATGTCATCAAGACGGCGCCCGAACATCCCAATATAGCTCTGCTGTATCCCATTCTGATAGAGAGGGGGCCGGCGGCAGGGGGCGAAGCCCTTACGGGTGTTGTTCTCGGGATTTCAACGCCACGGATCAACCTGACTGCTGCGTCTTGACAATCCGGAATCATGCCATAACACCATTTTTGGGATTGCAGCACTGTGAACCAACATAACTGTTGCACCAGCATGATCCTGAATCCTTCCAAAGCACAATTTCTGGTATATTGATCATGGGCATCCGTGAAACTCTTGCAAATGTTTAAAACGAATGTGCGAGGCGCTAAGGGTCATCTTTGGGCGGAGGGCCCTCGGGTTCCCGCTCTTGGGCCTATCTTGGGGCCCTCTTGGGCCGTCTTCGGGGCGTCCTGGTCCGTCTTATGGCCCTCTTGGGCCGTCTAGGGGCCCTCTTGGGCAGTCCTGGGGCGGTTTGGGAGATCTCCTGGGTCGTGTTGGACCGTGATGACATCAAGGAGGCGAAATTGCTACAAATGCATGCCTTCCTACGGGAATGAAGCGATGTCTGCTTCTCAGGGCCGCCTTGGGGGTCCTCTTGGAGCGGTCTGGAAGCGTCGTGGACACGCCTGTTGGGCCGTTGGAAACGCATCTTGGGCTGTCAAGGATCGGGGATCTTCTGACCTGGGTCAATCCAGACCCGGGTCAGTCAGGCCTCGCAGAATCCTGCAAGATCCTGCGCCCAAGCCCGGATCAATGCGAAGGACCCTGCAAGATCCTGCAGGATCCTGCACCCAAGCCCGGGTCCATGCGACCCTGGCCCTGCAGGATCCTGCAAGATCGGCCGTCCGCGCCAGGGCGCCCAACGCCGCAAAAGAAAATGCGCTGGAACGCAAACTCTGCCATTTTTTGGTCACCCCTGAGCCGCCCCGAAGGCACTTTCAGAGTCCCTGCGGCGCGCGCGACCGTGCGCGGCGCCTTTCGGTGCGTCCTTTGCGCGGCGCCACGCGCAGTTTTGGCGGCGCCGACCGTGTGGGCAGGGTGTCGCGCTGCAGCGCTCTGGCTGACCCCCGTTTGCATTGACCCCCGTCTCAAGGCCCCGCGTCATCGCCGCTGCCCTAGTCACCAGGGCCCTCGGGTCTGGCACGAGCCCTCCCCCGACCTCATTAGCGACGATCTCTCGCGCGACCATGGGAGGTCATCCGCGGCCACGCGCAGCCTTTCGTAACAGCCCAGAAGACACCTGACCTCACGAACCCCCGAAGAGACCCCTGGAGGGCGCTACCGGCTGTCTGGTGGCTCTCAGAAGTGAATGTGGACCCCCCACACGCGGGCCGGGCCCCCAGGTCCCTCCATGTGCGGTCGGGGTCGCAGACCCGGGCCCCCCGGTCCTAGTCCCCCGTTGTATGTCTGTATGTCTGGATGCATGCATGCATGTGTGTATGTGTGTATGTATGTATGTATGTATGTATGTATGCATGCATGCATGCATGCATGCATGCATGCATGCATGTAATTATGTATGTATGCATAAATCGATGTAGATATGAATGTATGTATGCATGCAGGCATGCATGCATGTCGGTCTGTCTGTCGGCCTGCCTGCCTGCCTGTCTGTGTGGCTGTATGTATGTATGTGTGTGTATGTATGTATGTCTGGATGTATGTATGTATGTATGTATGCATGTATATATAATTATATATGTATATATCTGTATATAGGTATGTCGATGTGCATGTGTGCATGTCTGCATGCATGTATGCATGTACGTATGCACGTACGTACTCATATATATATATATATATATATATGTATGTATGTATGTATGTATATATATATATATATATATATATATATATATGCGGATGCATGTCTGTATGCATGCATGCATGTATACATGTGTGTCTGTCTGCCTGTCTGTCTGTCTGTCTGTCTGCATGTATGTATATATGCATGTATGTATGTATGTACGTACGTATGTATGTATGTATGTATGTATGTATGTATGTATGTATGTATGTATGCATATAGGTGTGTTTGTATGTATGCATGTATTTATGTATGCATATATGTATGTATGTATGTATGTATGCATGTATGTATGTATGTATGTATGCCTGTAGGTAGGTAGGTAGGTATGTATGTATGTATGTATGTAGGTATGTGTGTGCGTATGTATGTATGTATGTAGGTAGGTAGGTAGGTAGGTACGTATGTAAATACACATACACGCATATAGAGGGGTATGCACACACGCGCATATGGCACACAAACGCATTATGCATACGCAGGGGCGCGCAGATGACGTACGTGTATGTATGCACCTGTGACTGTGAAGTCAATGCGTGCACATGGGCACGGGGGCGACAGAGGGGAGCCACAGAGGGACGATTGGGACTCCCTCCTCCTAGTCCTTCTCTTCCTCGCCACACCTCCTCTTCCTCCTCCTCCTCCTCCATCTCCTCCTCTTTCTCCCCGGCTCTTCCTCCTCCTTCTCTGCTGCCTTCCCATTCTCGGCATCTTTCTCCTCCTCCTCCTCCTCCTCTTCCCCTCCCTCCCCGCTCCTCCTCCTCCTCCTCCTCCTCCTCCTCCTCTCCCAGCGTTTGTACTTCTCCTCCTCCTTCTTCCTCCTCCTCCTCCTCCTTCAACATCCTTCTCTCCCCCCCCGCCTCCCTCCCCCCCCTCCTCCTCCTCCTCTCTCCTCCTCCTCCTCCTCCTCCTCCTCCTCCTCCTCCTCCTCCTCCTCCTCCTCCCCCTCCTACTCCTCCTCTTCCTCCTCCTCCTCCTCCTCCTCCTCCTCCGCTCCTCCTCCTCCTCCTCCTCCCCCTGCTCCTCCGCCTCCTCCTCCTCCTCCTCCTCCTCTTCCTCCTCCTCCTCCTCCTCCTCCTCCTCCTCGCCCAGGGGCATCGATGGTCCCCTGCGGCGGGGCCCGCCGTCCAGAAACAATGATGTGATGCGACGGGGAGAACAAAAGTGTGTGTGTGTGTGTGTGTGGGTGTGAATGTGCGTGAATGTGTGTGTGCGTGTGTGTGTGTGTGGAGGGAGGGAGGCTGGCGAAGGTTATGAGAAGGAAGGGGGGGTGGGCTAGGAGATTGGGGGTGGGAGGAAGGAGGAGAAGAAGGGGGAGGAGGAGGAGAAGGAGGAGAAGGGGGGAGGGAAGGGTGGGGGGAGGGAGGGAGGGGGGGGGGAAGGGGTGGAGGAAGGGGTGGAGGAAGGGGAGGGGAATAAGGGAGCGAGGGGAGGGATCGAGGGAGAAAGGATGGTGGTGATGATGATGCTGATGATGATCGTGGTGCTAACAAAGAGGACGATGCTGCTGCTGCCGCCGCCGCTGCTGCTGCTGATGATGGTAGTGGTGGTGATGGTGGTGCTGCTGATGATGGCGGTGATGATGCGGGGGATGATGGCGAGGAGCCAGGAGGATGATGAGAACGATGATTCGGCTGACGATGGTGATGCTGCTGGCAGTGATGATGATGATGATGATGATGATGATGATGATGATGATGATGATGATGATGATGATGATGATGATGATGATGATGCTGATGATGCTGATGATGATGATGAGGATGATGTAGATGAGGAGGAGGAGGACCCACACGGGGAGGAGACAAAAATAAGGAACATGATCATGGGGGGGAGGGGAGGAGGAGGAGGAGGAAGGAGGAGGGGAGGGAGGAGGAAGGAGGAGGAGAAGGAGGGCGGGGGGAGAACGATGGCAGGATGAACAGCGCAGGCAGGGGTCCTCGACCTCCTCCTGGGCGAGGTCCACTCTCACCCTCGTGGCCTCCCTGATCTGCCGCAGGCCCTGGCCAGCCTCTGGGGGCGGGGGGGCGCCCTCCTGCTCCTCCTTGGCTGCTGCTGCTCCTCCCCCCTCCTCCGCCTTTGCTGCTCCTCCTCCTGCTCCTCCTCCTCCTGCCTCCTCCTCCCCTCCTCCTCCTCCTCCTCCTCCTCCTCCTCCTCCCTCCCCTCCCCTCCCCTCCCCTCCCCTCCCCTCCCCTCCCCTCCCCTCCCCTTCCCTCCCCTCCCCTCCCCTCACTCCCCCGTTCTCCTCTCACCTTCTCTCTTGTCATCCACGTCCTCGTCCTCGTCCTCTTCCTCCTCCTCATCGTCGTCCTTCTCTTCCTCCTCCTCCTCCTCCTCCTCCTCCCTCCCTCCTTCTGAAAATACGGTCGGATCCTTTTCCCCCTGGAGGCGAATATAAGATGAGCCAAACAGCTGAGGCCAACGACTAACATGCACCACTGGAACTCCTAAACAACGTTCTCTGCAAAATCCATAACAGATCCCGCTCACCCGGTCGGAACGCTATAATACGCCATCCCTTTGGGGTTCATTGGCGTGTGAGATGCTCCCCCCTCCCCAAACCCTCCCCGGGGAGCCCGGTTCGGTCGATTTGGACGGGGGTGGGGGTCCCCCCTGGTGTGGGGCGGAACGCGCCACGGGGGGAGAGGGCCCCAAAGCATGCCAAAAGGGCACCAAGAGGCTCTCTGGACGATCCAAGAGGGCCACGAGCCGCCGAAAGATCGACCCAAAGCGTCCACGCTATCCTCCAGACGGCCCAGGAGGCCCCCAAGACGCCCCAAGAAGCCCTCAAGAGGCGCCCCAAGACGGCCTCAAAGAGTAAATCTCGTCACATTCCTATTGAAAAACGTGTACGTTTAGCACGTTCGCCTCTTGTCCATTCACAACGTCCAAGACAGCCCAAGAAGCCTCCTGGATCGCCCCAAGACGACCCAAGAGGCCCCCAAGAGGGCTCTCAGACCCAAGAAAGTTCCAAGACCGCCCAAGAAACTCCCAAGACAGCCCAGGAGGGCTCCAGGACGGCCCCAAGAGGGAGTCCCCCAGACGGGGCCCCCTAAGAGGTTCACAAACTGCTTCCCAAACGCCCCCCAAAACGCCTCCTACGAGACCCCGTCTGCCATCCGCGTGGCCTCAGACCCGCAGCCCAGGCACGGTGGCGGGATGTGCCGAAGGCCATTCGATTGTGGAGA